TCACCACAGCCGCCGGCGCCACCTACCTCACGCGCAACAGGTTCAACCAACTCCCCCTCCATAGTTTCCTCCATATCCTCCAAACCCCCTCCCTCGCCCGGATGGAACTGATTCGGCCGCGGACAGCGCCGGTGTCTCCCGCCACGACGCCTCTTTCTCCCCTTCCTCTCCATCCAGATTTCGTCCCTCGAGGGTCGGCTCTCGAGGTCTAGTTCTAGATATCGGGCGATCTTACCCATGATCCCGGTCGGCGTGTGATTGGTCTTACCTTTTGGGTATACTAGGCATTCTTCGCCGCAGGGGATGTCGTGGGGTGAGTTGCGGGCTCGCCTGACTGTTCGTAGTCTGCCCCATGAGGGACTTCCCTCGCGCTCTGTGGGCTGTGGGGATTGTGGTGGTTCGTCCATGTGAGATGTAATCAGGTAATTGAATTCTAGCAATGGGGTTGTGGTGCTCTTGAAGGTTGGTTTGAGCGGGCTACTCCAGTCTTCAAGAAGGAGAGCCAGCTTTTACAGCAACATTATCGTCGAGAGATTCACTGCCCAGAGCTTAGCCTAATGGCAACGACCACCACATGTCACACATTCACTCGAGGCCAACGATTTCATTGATGAGTTACGGGCGTCTGATTGCTGTATGCTAACCCTGCTTGCTATTGTGAGCCTCGCATGTCCATCTAGTAACCGCAATCGCCATATTCCTTTCCCTCATGATCCCATTCTTGGTCCTGGATACCAATCCGTTCCGAAACCAAACCCGCAATGCCAACGGCAGACAAACTAGGCTGTCTATTAAAGGCGGGAGCAAAAAGAAAACCGTGATTCCCCTGCAAGAAACCGATGCACAACTGCCACATGCTAGCCATGTGTATTAAAGTGCAGGTCCTGCGAAAGAAAAGAGAAAAGGCGTACGCTGGGACCGATGAGGAAATAAGTGTCAATGCCTGATGGCGAAAGTCGAAGTCCGTACCACAGAAAAGGAGAGTCGCTATGCCAACTTGATCGTTGCTGCTGAGTTGCGGTGAAAGAGCAGTGGTTGCGGAAAGGCCAAAGCTAATCAAGACCAAGACTCAATGAAGTATAAAGGCTTTCCAAAGCAATCGTATCCGCCAAGACACACAAGACGAACTGTTGTAAAGCTCATTGCGCTAGGAAAGCTCTTTTGACTTGTCGTGGCACCTTGCTGCAAAATGCATGCACAAGTGCGAGCGGCCATGATTATTGCGCTTATGGGAATCGTGGTTGCTCTTGCCTAAACATCCAGTCAGTAAAAGGAGTCAAGCATCAAAGACATTAGCGTCAAGGACTTACCTGATCGGAAGATTTCGAGAAAACTCAGCTCAGTGCCCACACTCAAGCATCCGGTGTTCCAAGAACATTCGCTCCATGGTGCCGAAGAGGAGTGGGAGTTTGGGGAGTCTGGGGAGTCTGGAGATCCTCGTGGTTTTCGGGTTCCTCGTTGGTCATGGTAATGCCATCGCGGGGATCCTCGCGACCGTCAACGGCGTTAGAAGTGCCACGAAGGGTGGGAGTATCAGGGTCGTAAAGGTTGTCGGAGAGGCTGACAGTACCGCCGCTAGGAGGGGCAGGACCACCGGTGGTAGGCGTGTGAGGACTGTCGACATGGGGCATGTTGTTCTCATACAACTGTTGTCCAGGGGAGTCGATGATCAGCCTGAAGATATTGGTCTGACCGGGTATAAAACCAGTGGCGTGCGGATTGGCAATGGTGTGATTGGGAATATGGGGAGGGGGCTGATGCTGCACCGGTTGTTGCGGCTGCGGTGCAGGGGGCACGACTGTGGAAGTCCCAGATCCGGCGTTCGGGGTACCTTCATCTTCCTCGTTGCCTTCAAGAGGGATGAACTCGATGCCGCCACGAGAAGGGACCGGGGTGTGCCGAGGGACGATGTCATAGAGCGAGGTCGTCTGCATCGCTTGCTCAGGGTGAAAGACCTGCAGAAACTGCTCCTCCTTCCAGTTCTCGTAGACATGCTCAATGGTCTTCTGCACACGCTCCGAAAGGGTAGGCATGATGTCCGGGGCGTCGTCAACGATCTTGTTGTATACGGCAGCGAGCATGTCGGTGAGAATCTGGACACCCACAGTGGCGTCCTTTTCCTTGTCCTTCAGCTCCATGTTCTCGCTGTGGAGATTAAGAAGTGTCCTTATGACTTGGCGAAGCTCAGCTCGAAGACGTCGATTCTTAATGCGGAGTCTATCTCGATCTTGATTGAGAGCCAGAGCCTGGCCTTGGATGTCTGCCATCTGCCGGAACAAGTTCTCGTTCTGGATGACTTTGTGAGATGCCACCTTCTCAAGTCGCAGAATGACGGCCCGGAGCCCCTCGTTCTCGTCAAAGGCAAGACCAGCGGTGCCAATGGCCTCCCTCAACTTCCCATTCTCGGCCTTGGTTCTTGCACTGTCTGCCTTGAGCTGAGCATTCTCAGCCTTGAGCCGAGCAATCTCAGCCTGAGTAGTCTGGAGCTGCTGCTCCATTTCTTCACAGCCGTCAGTGCCAAAGGGAGTGGTGGTGGTGGTCTGGAGGAAGAAAGAAGTCAGGATCAAAGGGGAGAGAAGGGGTCTTTATATAGATAATGGAGAGCTCCCAGGCAGCGCCAGATCAGTAAAGCAGGATCAGTAACTCAACATGAGATGAAATGTGGACGTGTGGAAAGAGCCATTGTGGTTGTTCTTCCACGTCCAGTTACTGATTGGGGGGCTGCGAGAAGGATATCAAAGGGAGGAGACTCACAGTGCTGGTGGTGGGCACAGGTTCACCACAATGGCCACTCTGGCCGCTGCTGTTGGCAGCACCAGCCGAAGCTGGGCCACTAACACCCCGGAGGCCACCCGGGGCGGCGATGGCAATGCCACCGCCAGCAGCGGCCTCAACCGCCGACGAGAACTTCGCCGGGATGGCATCCCGAGGGGTGCCACCCACGGCCACCGGGGCATTGCTGTGACTAGTGTCAGCAGCAAGAGACTGTCCGGCGACCGCCGGCTGCCGGACTGTCCGCATATTCGCTGCGGCATGATCTTGGGGCGCTGGGGGGTGGGCGGCGGCGCCCGGCACAAAGGTCGAGGCGGTGGCCTTGTATGGGATGGTGTAGGGCGAAGACATGGTGGATGATGATGCTGGAACTCCTAGTTAGAATGAAGCTTTGATAGGTACCTAGGGAAAGGTTGGGAATACCTTCGTTGGTGGGCTTGTTTGGTTGATATAGCTGGGATTGAAGACTGGAAACGTTGGTTGGATGGGGAAGAGAAAAAGTAGAACAAGGGTGGAAGGAAGAAATCCGGGTAGAAGGGTAGGGAATTCAATGTGTCCCTCCGTCCGTAATAGGTCAACCGAGGGCGGTCAGAATATTTCTAGTATTTCACAACTGATCCTGAGGAAGCAGCGACTGATTTGTATGAGGAGGGCTCTTTCCGCGTAGGCTTTCTCCGATAATTTACAGAATCGTTGTCCCGGCGAGCAAAGTCCAACACCCTGAAAGCACCACAGGTTCTGCGCTCTGCCAACAAGTCAAACAGATGAACCGTGCTACTAGAGAATTCATATGGTCTCAATGTTTGGAACTGTGTTCCGCCGTTGTTTGGTGCTACCTTACCAACACCAAAAGATGAAGAACTCCGGTCTTAAGACCTAGTCCAGCCGTTCGTCGGTGTATGAGGTGGCTGGCATCGTCAAATCTAGGGACAACAACCGGAAGTGAGCATTTAAAAACCGCACAACTGACTGCAGCGATAATACAGAATTCTCGTCATTTCGGAAACTCGGAGGACATCAACTGCAACATCGGGGAGTCTGTCGTCGACAACTCGAGATCGCGCGGGGCCGGAGCGGACGTGAATTACGGCCCCACTACGGGAAGCCAAGAACGGCGCTAAAATCTTAGCGACGGTTGCCCCAGGGCACAGGGGGAGGTACCTTCCACCTGGAACCTAGAAAGTTCTCTTCAAATGGAAGCTCCTTCCCAAGCTCCCTTCGGACCTTTGCTGTCGGGCCCGTGGGAGCAAGTCAAACATTGACTGCGTGCGAGCCTTGTCATAATTCTCTCTTGCAAACTTGGTGTCACAGAAACATAGCCGCAAACGCCATACCTTGGACCGATCCAATGGACCAGACATCGCAGCAGGACAGCCCTCTGTCCATTGCGGCCAATGTCGCCGGAATCCTCACATTTGTCGTCGCTATTGTCGCAGCGGTGTATGTCAGAATCACATATTTGCGCAACAGCGACGACGAGTATTTCCGGGTCAAGGCCTCGCTGTCATGGTTCAAAACGGAATCCACATGGCTATCGGATCTTGTTCGTACAGCCGGTGAAAGATCAGGAGGTCCCCATTCTCGCCAACCTGAATATCAGATGTACGCCTTCGTGATGGACGACTTGATTAAGCTGGAGAAACGGATCCTGGAACTGCTGGCCGAGGCCGAGACCAAGGCTGCGGGCCAAGACGCCGAGAATCAGGGTAAATGGACCCTCGTGCCCAAAAGTTGGAGCTTCACGACCAATGTCGCCATGGCTTGGCTGCCGGTCCGGACCAAGACGTTGGAGCTGGTCCGCCAGAGAGAAGCATTGACGGCAAGAGTGCAATTTACGCAAATGAGCATGATATCTTCGTAAGATACTTTTTTTGCTGAGGGGCTGTTGGCCGCTATTACTGATAACGTATCGCAGTCGGATTCGAGATTTAGAATCGAGGACCACGTGGACGGAAGCCAAGGCCGAAGAGAGCTTTATTCGTATGGAGAATCAAATCTCTGAGCAGAGAGCCCAGATCCATCGGCTGGAGGACCTCGTCTATCGTCTGATGCATCGGAGTCGACTCAGTCACGGTCCAGATTCACCGTTGGTCGATCCCATAAGGTCGCGCCGATTATCTAGTCCTTCGCAACAGCTTCCAAGCGAGTTGGAGAATCGAGGGCACCACCGGCGGGCCAGTTCGCAATCTACCCGGCGGTCGAGGTCCAAATAACGAGTCGTGAACCGCCTATTTAATGGAATACCCTCCTTGCAGCAAATAAGCACCTGCCACCGCCAGGCTGGCCACCGCCACGGGAAGGTCAAGCTCCAAGACGGACCAAATCCACACACATCCCAGAGTTGGCGCCTGTTTCATGATATACAGATAACTGAACGTGTTGGTGATGTAAATCAGATGGCATCCAGCCCACACTCCGGCCACGAAGAAGATGGCCTGTCGAATGGGATGCTGGTAACGAGCCGGCAGTCCCGGAATAAGGTTTGGACTGGACGGGAAAGCATGGAGATTATAGAAGAGGAAGAAGAGCACTACCGCGCACCGTCGTCATCAGCGAAGGAGCAGAATGAAGGGGACCGACTTGAAACTCACCCATCAACGCAATGAGGGTACGGCTGAAGACGTTGAGCCATTCGATCTCCTTGGCATACTGGTTCTGGACGAGTACGTCGAGGGTGCCGTGTACCATGGCAAGACTTACAGTCCAGAGCAGTGTATCCATGATACGATCCATCAAGGGAGACAACAAGGCCTCTTCGTCGTCCTCATCATCGTCACTATCCTCGCTACCCGGCCTGTCAATTCGGACGGCACCCTTGGGCAAATTCTTATTCCGCGGGTCTTTGTCGGCCTGCTTGAAAAGACCTCGGTCTTGGGCCATCTGCAGCAAAGTGGCTTCGCTGGGAGCTGACCGATCAGGCTGGGCAAGGGGGATGCCTTTAGGATCCTTCACCCTCTTTTCCTTGGTCCCCTTTTTGGCCATGTTTGAGGCTGCGAGTGAAGACTCGATGAACCGTGGTTGAGACTTCCCCTCGCCGTCCTTCGCCAATCCGCTCAGGAACACCTCGAGCTTCGACGATGCCAATACGGAGGTCTCTTCGTCTGTGAGATGCAGCTAAGTGACAGCTGCAAGGTAGGTTGTCGTCGGATGTCTTGGTCTGGTCACGTGCTGCTGAGCTGCTTTGGCTGACAAAGACACAGTTTACAGTTTGACAGTTCCTTGTCCCGCCGTCAGCCCAGAAGGTAGCTCGACTCCTGGAGCTCACCAGCTGTCAGGGAAGTCCTGCACCTGGGAAAATAAAGGTAGACAGCTCCCCTGGCCCCTGCTGCAGGCCATCGGTCCAGTGACCAAACGAACCCATGCGGCCATGCCCTGTCGCATGACACACTGCTCCGGACGGCCAATTGCCAGGCGTCGCTCGCCCCTCAGGGCGGATTTAGTGTTGTAAGGGCCCCCGTTCCGCGAGGATCTGTCACCGCCTGCATTTTCGGGAAGGGAACGGGTGCGACCACACACCGACGGCGCAGATTGCGCGCCAGTTGCGACAGGATGACCGAACTGAGGTGGTGACGGGAGGCAGCGCGAGTGAGCGAGGCACCGAATCGTCCGGGCCCCAGCTCATCCAATTTCCCAGCCGATCGTCTCCCGCTATTTGCGACCACCCACACCACCATTGACAGCCACCACCACCACCCGTTGTCGCTAAGAAGCTCCTCCGAGATTAGACCAGGGTCCCCCAAAATCGCAAGGTGGCATCTCACGCTTCTGCTCTTCTTTCCCGCGCGATGCTGCTTGCCTCGTGACCTCCATCGAGTATCCAGTGCTGCTTTGCGACTCTCTTAGATTGCTCTGGGAACTCTTCCTCCTCAACATACACCTTTTGCGACCTCTCCGAACCCGTCGTCCTTCTGGCGCGAGGCTGCGACTTGCCGACACACGCCACACCGCATCCTCGAAATACTCCTCCCGAAAAATAACCCCACCTTGGGGAACTCGAAACCTCCTCACCGACGAAACGATATCGTATACCAGAGCTGCCCGGTGTTGGAATCTGCGACAATTGTAGTTGACAATGGGTTGGATAATGCTCTTCGGCGCCTTGCTGGTGGCTGTTGCGCCTGCATTGTATATATACCTGGTCCCGCTGATCACGCCGAGACTCCCAACCCTGGAGAACAAACGCATCTGTCTCTTGATTGCACACCCGGATGATGAGGCCATGTTCTTTGCGCCAACGGTTTTGGCCCTCACCAAACCGGATACAGGCAATCACGTCAAGATTCTGTGTTTGAGCTCAGGTCAGCAAACATCCTGGGGATACTACCGAAAGGGCACAAGGACGCTGTGGCTGACAAGAGGGGCAACAATATAGGCAACGCTGACGGCCTGGGCGAGACTCGCAAGAAGGAGCTGATCAAGAGCGGCATGAAGCTCGGTCTGCAGCAGGAACACGACGTCTTCGTCATTGACAGCCCGTGAGCAATTCCCCCTCCTAACCCACTGCCCCTCAACTCCACTCCAGGCCCTGGACGAGCTAATCTGACCGCCTCCCGGCACCTCCAGCGACTTTCAAGACTCCATGACAAACGTCTGGGACAAGACCAAGATCTCTACCCTCCTCGGCCGCGCCTTTGCACCGCAGCTCGCCCGCCAGCGAGCTGCCGGCGAGGAACCCGACGCCAACATTGACGTCCTCATCACCTTTGACTCGACCGGCGTCTCTTCCCACCCGAACCACATCTCCTTATACCACGGCGCCCGCGCCTTCATTGCCGCCCTGTCCACCAACCCACGCTGGCCCTCCCCCGTCGACCTCTACACCCTGACCTCGGTCCCCTTTGCGCGCAAGTACACCAACTTCCTCGACGCCATCCCCACGCTCTTCTCCTGGGCCACCACGGCCGGCAGCAACCCCCCGAAACCGCCAAAGAAGCCAAAGAAGGAGGACGACGATAGCGATGACGAGGACGAGGAAGACGACAACTACCACCCCACGGCGCTCGTGTTCCTCAGCGAACTGGGCGCAAAGGGCGGTTGGGCCACGGCGTGGAGCGCAATGACCACGGCGCACAAGAGCCAGATGGTCTGGTTCCGCTATGGATGGATCTCATTGAGCAGGTACATGGTTCTGAACGACTTGCGGCTGGAAAAGGTCGATGCCGAAGAGGAGACTAAGGCGTGAGTGAGCTACACCTCAACTCTGTCCAGATATGAAATAAGTCATGAGAGAGAGTGAGAAAAAGAGGAAAGAGGAGTTGATGGTAAAGCATGGATCGAAAAAAGAAAATGGCATATCCTACCTAGCATCTCATATTCCCCCTACCTACCACCCCCTTTTCATCATGAGCAGGCGTTTTTGCATGGACTCCTTATGTTTTGGGTAGATACCAACATATATCACCAGGGGTACAAAAATCATCAGCGTTGCAGTTACAGAATGAAGATCAGGTACACCAGATGATGGGAACAGAGTACATCTCCAACTATTCATCGGTACCCCATTGAAAGAAATATTGCAGTAACATCGCATCAGAACACAATTTTTCTCCATGACATTGGTATTTCTATTCATTGAATTGTTTACTGGAGTCCATCTAACAGACAGGGTCCTCTCGACATGTCTGCCAGATTCCTCTTGCCAAAATGTATCGCCTTCTGCCATCTACCACACCAAGGCCTTCAAGACCTCCTTTCGGAACAGGGGACCGGTCTGTGGTAACCTTTGCGAGTTCAGACCTTCGACCGGGCTAATCGCTTCTCCTTCATTCACAACCCCCTTACTTGCCGGCTTGCCAAGCTCAAATCGTAGACGATTCTCCTGCTCTCCAAATCTGACCTCCCTTCGTTGGCGGACCATTCTTCGGGTTGATCGTCTGAGGGTAATCGTCATGCTCTCATACACTGGGTCGCCCGCCTCGGTGACAATGGGTACAGCTTCCGCATCCTCCGCAGCCCCGTCTGGTTTAGAAACCTTTGGCCGGCTTGGATCGGGAGCCAGTCTCCGAGTTGGCTCGGAGCGAACAATCTGCTTCACCCATTTGGTTTTGGGCGCGGCGATGTCTTGATTCAGGATCCTGACAGTCCCTCCATACGTCGAGTACGTTATTGGATCAGGGAGAAAACGGCGAAAATCGTTGACAAAGTCTGGGATAATCTGGGATCCCAGCGCGGGCTCGCGGCGTAAGCGTACGCTGGCCTGCCGCAACCATTGCTGGCACGAGCGTTGGATGGAGTACCATGACATGTGTTGCTGTGCTTTTAGCCGATGGTGACGAGAAATCGAAGCTGGCGGTGGCGATGGGAAAAGGGTCTCAAACAGAGCTGCCTCGACATCCTTGCATAGTGAGTCGTACCCGGCGCATGTATGTCTGATGGAGTCCCAAGCCTCATCCAGCTTGCCAGAAGCAACCAGCGACCTAGCGTAAATATCAAGTTCACGGAAGCCGGGCTTTCCCAGGTGGGGATTGGCCGTCATGGCGTCCCATAAAGCCAACACGTCGTGAGACCGAACGACCCTGTTTTTGTCGCCAATAGTCTTGTACTCTCGGGTGACCGGTTTAGAAGATATCAGGTAGGTCCACTCCAGGAGCGACGACCAGGTATCTGGCGGTATGGGGATGCCCCATTCTGCAGAGATAAACTCGATTAGTTTTCTGGCTAGAATGACATGACCAGTGCAACCGAAAGACTGCACAATGGCGTTGATCAAAGGCTGTGTTGGCGTCGGTGTTCGCCTGTTGCTGTCTGCCCTGTTGGCCTTGACGATCGTTGCTGCTCGATGATCTCTGTCGGTGATGAGGATGCCCCATACTTTATAAAGAATTCGAGTCATCTCCCTGACTGAGCCAGCGCGTGCGCAGGCTACTAGGTACGCGCAGTAGTACTCTTCGTCCACCACTTTGTGCTTTTTGCGGATGAATGCATTCAGTCGTCCGACAGGGGCGGGCAAGCTGAGTAGGCGATGTAAGTCGTGAGTGGGTTCCCAACTAGCACGGCCGTAGGTGAACCTCCTATTGGCAACAAGACTAAGTCTCAGTCTCTCGAGGGGCCACAAGATCCGGGTGTCTTTAATGTTCTTCCTCCGGCCATGTAAATCACGGAGTCGCACTCGCAGCCTAGCTTTATCGTTGTGGGAGTAGGCTGGGTCTGTGAGAAATCGAGTCTTAAAGTATTCGGTATAGTCCTGGCCATTCCTGTGGTGGCTATCTTCCTCCCCCTTCGTCACATCCCAAATTTCCTTGGCAGCCTGGACATCGGATGCAGCACCGGCGCATCTTAAGAGAACGACGTAGTCAAGCCGAGAAGGCTCGTTACCATGGTAGGATCGTAGACCGAACAGCGTACGCAATGACTGAAAGGTGCTTTTGTAGATCTTGGGAACACCAAATCGATCGGCGACCGAGGCAAGAGAGCTGTACTGGCCAAGTCCATTCTCGATATGCAGGCCGTGGGTCGCATTGCTGCCAGGGCCGACGCGAGAGGGGTCCAGGGAGCGCACGATTTCCGAAAATGTAGTCGGTGACAGCCTTTTCAACGCGTCCGCCGCCTCAATGGCCCGTGGGTGACATGCTAGACCTTTGACACTCTTCGCTATTTGAGTTGTATCCTGTGATTGAACCGCCCGTAGCAAATCCGCGAGATGCGCGTCGGCAGATTGATCTGAGCGCGACTCGATCGCAGGGGCCGAGGTGTCGAAGCTGAGCTTATGCGACTGGGACATGCATCTCGTTGAGATGTCCAGCCCATTTCGTGGAATCAGGGTTCTGGCGGGTGCTGTTGATATGGGAAAAGGGGGCAGATGCCCGTAGCATCTTCGTAATCGGGCAGCCAAGATTTTCGAGGGCGTGCCGCGAGGGGGTCCTCGATGCCGCAGCAGCTGTCGAAGGCCATTGGTCTCTATAGCTGCTATCATGATGAAAGGCTGCGAGGTCTGTATCGAATCATGTCTTGTGCTTCGAAGCCAATGGCACGGCCAAGCGGAAGTGGTGTTTCTTCAAAGATGTGGCTGGACTACCGTTTTGCTCGCGTGAGGGGAGGTGTTGAGTGAAAAGGACAAACACAAAGCTGTCCCCTCACTGCGAAGGGGGACGTACCGTACCACATCGGCAAGCCATGGAGGCACAGCTCCCCCAAGCACAGCTTACGCAGGTCGAGGCGTTTTCCCCGACAGCCCAGCTTCCCCAACTTTGCTTCTCCCGCTGCCGCCGCCGCCGCCGCCGTTGCTTGCCGCCGCCTCCTCCTCATCCATCGGCCGTCCTCCTTGTCTTTCTCCGCCAGTGCCTGTTTGCCCGCTCAAAGTTACAACAGAAGTGCTGCAAGTGCCTGCTTTAGTGCCCTGCTCCCTTCCCCTCTAACCGTGCCATCCCGGACAAGGGACGGGAAGCTCCACGCAGACCTGGGGCAAGACCCATTCCTGGCCCACCTTCCGGTGTGCCGTGGCACGGTTCAATCTCATTGTGGGCTGAGCAGCCGGACTATCTCTCAGCCGGCTCCGAGGGGTCTTGACCAATGACGTGCAGCTGAGCTTTGCCCGCGCAAAATGCACAATTCCTCCTGTGCCCGGCCCCACCCATTGCCTCTCGGCCATCCCAGTTGAATCGCTGTGTCTTCATATCAAGGAACCGCACCGATCCATCTCATCACAGAGCCCCCTGCTCCCTTCTCTTTGAACCCGAACTTCACTCTTCAAATCACCATGGCGGACGCCGGCGAAGACACCACGCACGTTCAGGAGCCTCTTGACCTTGTCAAGCTCCTGCTCGATGAAGTGGTTTTCGTCAAACTTAGAGGTGACCGTGAGCTTAAGGGCAGGCTTCATGTGAGTTGTGATGCGTGTCTCGGAGCTGACTGAGGTATACTAATCTGTATCACAGGCATACGACAGCCATTGCAACCTTGTTCTGGGTGAGGTCGAGGAGACCATCTACGTAGTGGATGAGGATGAAGAAGATGAGGAAGTGAAGGTGAGAAGACTCGATGAGCTTGATGTCTCATCAAATCCTGACAGCATACCGCAGACCATCAGCAGAAAGTCGGAAATGCTCTTCGTTCGTGGTAAGTTGCATCACATCGTAGGAACTAGTCAAAAGTCTAACCAGTTCGCAGGTGACAGCGTGGTTCTCATCTCGCCTCAAACGTCCTCATAACCATTGGGGGATCACGCATCAACCATCGCCGCGAAGGGGCATTGGTTTTGAGTCAACACCAAGTACACCCGAGCCGACGACAACACCTCACCGCTCGCAACGCGTTTTGACGTCTCTTGTCGCGACACCGGAGAGGAAAAGATGTAACTCTTCATACGACTATCATCAATGCGGTCTCTCTCCATATACCCTCATCCCGAGACCACGTTAGCACCCCTGGGCCTGTTGCAGAATCTACTCCACTACAGCCTGGGACAACTTGCGTATTGGTACGATGGTGCAGCCAGGGCCACTCGGCCGCTTCATTATCATGGCTGAGGAACAGCTGGGCAAACTTACCAATTACAACCATACACTCAATCTCGTCGTTTGCAGTTCAAATAGACATTCCTAGCAATGGAGCACGCTTTAGCGCACCCTGCTTCATGTTTTTCTACTCCATTCAACTGGGTTTTCGAAAGCTCCAGATGTGCTATTCCGAACAATTTGATGACTCTTTCTTGCTCCTGGTTGGCAGCAGTTGACCAGGTCAGGCAAGAGGCGCAGCAACCAGGGTACAGCTGCAAATCAACTCACAAGCAAGCAATTGAGTGCCTGAGTCACACAAACTTCCACTTCCGTTTGCCGCAACCTTTGTGGTGAGTGTATCCAGCCATGCGGGTCGCCATGGCTGAAGAGCGATAGAACAGCCATTCTGTGATTTTCTTCCAGATACTTCAGTCAAGACACAATCCGGGGCTCCGCATTCTGCAATGACCTTACTACGTACCTTAGTACTGTAGGTAAATCCACAACCACCATCCAGGCGTCACCACAGCAAAGGTCGATACTGGCCCGTGCAACAGCTCTTATCGATAAGCCCCGCCGAGTTACTCATGATGTCAACGCTGCTTTAGACTCGCCCGTCTCTGAATTCCAACCACGCCTACCATGCCTAATGCTCTATGTATATGTAAAGATCTGGGTACGATGCCGTATCCTGGGCGAGGCCAAACCAAATGGTTCAGCTCAATGCTCAGCAGGTCAGAACTTGTCCTAATTCGGGATCCTCGTATGATAGGCGCTAGTTGCGAGGGCTGTTGCATACGTAGTATAACATAGACACATTTCAGGAAACTGGCAGGGGATAAATGGCCCCAGAATAAGCGGCGGAAAAGTAAAGCAGCGGGGTATTCTGTCACCCGGGCGTGGTGTGGAGGTGAAAGTGGCCTCGACTGTCACTGCGGCACTGCCTGCCGTTAGACTTCGCCGCTCCGAGTCAATCGATGACTCCTTTCACTGTCCCGTCGCGACGCCAACTTTGTCGGAACTAAGATTCGCCCCTCCCTCTATATAGTCTTGACACGCTGCATTGCACTCCCATCGATCAATTCCATCAGACATCTTTTACAACCCCATTGTACTGCTTTTGACACGTATCAATGATCCTTAGGATACGAATATAACTGCTCCCATCACCCCACCATGACGAGCAAGAACATAAAGTCGTTACCGCATGAGAAGCGTAAGGGCGAAGCTGTATGAATATCCCACAGAGTTGGAATGCCTCTTCGCCCTGACCGTCACTAACCACTTTCCTCTAGGCTCTTAGCGACTTTGCCGAGTACGTCGAGAAGCAGCAAGCGTTACGATACCCAAGCGCAAAACCGACCGACACTTCCAAGGTTACTGAAGTCCCCGAACATCAGCATGCCGAACTCGACGAGCTCTTCGACAACCTAGATCTAGCCGAGCCTACCCCTAGCGCCCGGCTGAAAGACCTTCTGCTGGGCACCGATGACGACACACTTCAGAAGTTGGAGGGCGTGCTCCAGGAAAGGATAGCTGAGGGCCACGGGGAGGCCGTGTTCGAGCTTGGTTTCGAGAACAACGGCGAGTCGATGGCACTATCAATAGAGCAATGGAACGCTGCATACACCAGATTGAAAGAGGCGGCCAAGAGGATACGAGCCGACTGCCAGACGCTCATCACCAAAAACGTCGGTGGCGATGTCGAGGCCCCGAGCGCTCAGTCTGGCAAAGACAGCCATTGCAGTGGCAAGATCATGATTCGCCAGACGCCAGCAACAGTAGAGGATGTTATTGAGACCCGAATAGCTGTGGTTGGCAACGGTATGTGCCCTCTGCGTCTGTCAATGATCTGCGCGGTGGGCGAGCTTGTCTCTTCGCAGTATCAGTACGGCAGTAGAATTAGGCTAATCTGTACACCACAGTCGACGCTGGAAAAAGTTCTCTTCTGGGAGTCCTGGTCAAGGGTGACCTCGACGATGGCAGAGGACGCGCACGAGTGAACCTCTTCCGCCATAAGCACGAGATCGAGACGGGCAGAACCAGCTCCGTCGGCATGGAGATCCTGGGTTTCGACACTGTTGGAGAGGTTGTCGTCTCTGACACTCCTGGGCGTAGGCACCCCTTTGGCATTTTTCGTCGTTAGAATGACTCACTAACGATCACCAGGAAAATTGTCGTGGGAAGAGATTGGAAAACGCAGCGCCAAGGTCATTACCTTTACTGACTTGGCAGGTCACGAAAAGTACCTGCGAACGACCGTGTTTGGTCTGCTGTCGAGCAGCCCCAACTACTGTTTGCTGATGGTTGCGGCCAACAATGGCCTGGTTGGCATGAGCAAAGAGCACTTGGGCATTGCCCTGGCACTCAACGTCCCGGTGATGGTCGTCATTACCAAGATTGACATCTGCCCGCCTCAGATTCTCGAGCAGACCATCAGCCAGATTACCAAGATCCTGAAGAGTCCGGGAGCGCGAAAGATCCCCATCTTCATCAAGGACCGTGAGGAGTGCATAAACACGGCCACCCAGTTCATCAGCCAGAGGATATGCCCCGTCTTCCAAGTTTCCAACGTCACGGGCGAGAACCTCGACTTGGTCCGGACATTCCTGAACATCTTGCCGCACCACGGACGCTACGATTCCGAGGCACCCTTTGAATTCCACATCAACGACACGTTTTCGGTTCCTTTTGTCGGCACAGTTGTCTCTGGAATTATCAAGGCCGGTGTGATCCATGCCGGTGACAACGTGCTCATCGGTCCCGACTCCTTGGGGCAGTTCACGTCCACCAGCATTCGTTCCATCGAACGCAAGCGATTGGGGGTGCCAGCTGCTTCTGCGGGTCAGTCCGCGTCCTTCGCCTTGAAGAAAGTCCGGCGTAAGGATGTCAGGAAAGGCATGGTTGTTCTGCCCAAGCTCGAGGGACAGCCAGCTCCCAAGGTCCACAGAGAATTCATAGCAGAAGGTGAGTCACATCGAACAAGTATTCAATCGAACGCTCAAGCTGATACGTCTCTAGTCTTGATTCTCTCTCACGCGACCACCATCAAGACAAAGTACCAGGCCATGCTCCATGTTGGGCCAGTCTCGCAGACGTGCGCGATAATCGATGTCGACCGTCCGTATATTCGGACTGGCGACAGAGCGACAGTGGCGTTCCGGTTCGTCCAGCGCCCCGAGTACCTCGCCCCTGGTGATCGTTTATTGTTCCGAGAGGGCAGGACCAAAGGCTTGGGGATAGTCAAGTCGGTTGGCTACGACCCCAGCAAGCCGCTATATCCTCATGGTGACTCTGCAGCGGGCGAAGATGGCGCAACGAAAGCCAAGGATGAGGAGAATGGCGACAAGACCGCCAACAGCCAGGAAGTCAAGGTCGGAGCGTAAGGAACTTGCACTTGGTATTTGTATAATTGGGCGTTGAGCGGCGATTTGATTTTTGTGATCAATTAGCATTGGGTTTGAGCGATACCAAGATGTACACTTCTAGGAGGCACGCTTTTGCGTGTCTTGTTCATTCATTCAATCATCATTTACATTTGCTTTCCCACCCAGTCTCAACGCTCAGTGTTTCCAAGTTTTGGTACGCACCCTAGTGAAATGCCATCCGCGATCATCTCAACTCACAGCCCAAGATGATTCACCAATATGACGGGACATCACAACAGCCCGCACTGATCGGCCATCATCCTCGGAAACGCAACCAGCCTTACCTCCCACCTCCCCCGCCACCTCGCCTCCAAATACTCGCAAATCGCCCTCGTCTCCAGCACGGCGCGCTTCCACATCCACCAGTGCTTCCGATCACACACCCGCGCGAACCAGTACGCCAGCAGCAGCATCGCCCGCTCGTCTTTCTCCTCGAGCAGCCGCCGGAACCGCGGGTCCAGCTTGCTGATGAAGCCCATGAAGGGCTTGATCAGCTCGATCGAGTCCGGGTCCGCTGTCACTGCGGGCGGTACGCGCCAGCAGACGACGAGGGAGGCGGCGGCTGTGAAGTACGGGTTCGCGTGGGTTGGGTCCTGGATGAGGTCGAAGAGGTCTGCGAAGCCTTCCGGTAGGGGAGGACTCCATGCGTCCGTCGTCTTTCCTTTCTCCTCGGGTCCATCATCGATGGTGCTACAGCAGGGTGCCTCGACGGGCTTCATCAAGTGAGCATACAACTCGCTCGCCGCATCCGCAAACACGCCCCTCGGCGCGCGTAGCGTATCCGTCATCTTCCACACCTGCTTCTTCCCGTCGCCTAGCTTGAGCCAGTCGAGGTCCGAGGGGCACCCCTGCCTCAGCGGCCAGGCGTCGCGGGGCGCGGCGAGGGAGGCGACGTTGGCAAAGGCGGCGACGCTGATGAAGGCCGCCGCGAGCCAGAGGGCGTCGCGCTCGCTGGGGAGGATGGGGTTGGAGAGCTTGCGGTGGAGGAGGGAGACGCCGCGGTACCAGTGGTAGGCTAGGGCTGTTTGGGTTGCCTGGGAGGGCGGGGTGTTGGAGGGCGTGAGGAGGGTTAGGTCGTGGAGGTGGGTCATTGCTATTACTGTGTGCATTACCACGGGGTGCTTGCGTGTTTGTTAGTCTACGATGGACTCGGAAGAGTGTTGGGCGAAGGGAAGGGTTCAGGGGCTTACGCAGAATGCGATGGGGAGGGTCTTTTTCTCGTAGATTGTTCTACTCTTTGCGGAGCCGAGGCTCAGGACTGTCCTCTTCTGGAAGCGTTCGAGGAGGCGGACGTCTGTTGGAGTCAACTGATACGCCGCGTCTGGGCTTTCCATGGATCCGGTTTGTGGTAACGGCGGGGGGACGTAACGGGGCGGGAGGGGGGCCCGAGCAGGCGGAGCGGGATCAGCTCTCGGTTGAGGAGGTGTGGGAGTAGTTGAAGCAGACGAGAGGTCAACACTAAACGCCACTTCCACAGAGAGGGCCGTCGCCGCGGACGTGGGGGCGTAGGAGCATGTCACGCCGTACGAGACGCATTTCACGCATCGGGGTTTAGTCTCGTCGCACTATTTTTACTGTTAGACACTGTAGACTGGAAACATAAAGCGAGAGCTGGAGGGTCATCCTAGACCCCTAGTTACGGGACCTGGCAGAAACTTATCTCTGGGGCCCGATGATGGTTGCACGAAGAATGATAGGGCTACACTCGATGACATGATCAGGAGTGCGCAATCCTTAGATATGATACGTACTTTCACCCGCCGCAACTTGCAGTTTCCACACCCCTTTCTAGACTTCTTATGAGCCCTGCGCTTGCGCACGTCATCGCCCGGGGATGTTTCCAGAGAAGACATATCGATAGCCCGGCAAGCCTAGCTGAGAGGTGATCTGTGATGATCTGATCCAGTACACGGATTGGATTGGCTCGGCCGGCGTCCTGCAGCTCCACGATAATCAAGGGACCAGACGCGGCCTAGATGGTCTAACGAGGTCGGGGCAGGTTCACCATGGACATAGGGAGTGATGCTTGGCTGACAGCAGATACGAACGGAGGAAACAGAGCCGCAGGAACAAAAACAAAATATGCGTCAGCATAGCGCGCCCTTTTTGATCCTCCCGGAGTTTACAAGGCCCACTCCTCCGGAAACCCCTCCGGTCATGAGGCGCTCATTCAACCCGCGATCGACGTCGAGCTACCCCGGTCGCCTCCGGGTCGGATCCATAGGCTTATGCCGTCTAGAGTGTGTATGGTTGGTTGATCTCCGACACAGGTGGGTTCAAAAGATGGGTCTAACCTCTGCTCGTATTTGGGGAAGACTGCGCTAACCTCGTTTCGTATCGAGAGAAGCACCCCGCATCAGGAGGATGATGGACGTGGAAGTCGGGACGGAGAGTAGATGTTGAAAAGTATGCAACTTGATGCTTTACTTGAGTGGCTCACATATCAAAGAAACTGAATTCGGCTATCGTTCATGATATGTTTGACTGGATCGCAATCCGCGAAAAGGGAGAATGCTCGCGAATGCTTTGCTTCGAGCTTGGTGTTCGTCGTTGGAAAGTCTTCAGCAACATTGAATCTCAAGATACTTCCATTGATTAAAGTGATTCGATGGAGGACTATTTCCATTGGAGCAGTGGTCAAGATAGTATATGATTAATTATCATTTCGTTCATTGCTTCATAGAGCACGGGTATATATATTCGAAGATAAGTCCACATCCTCACCCCATCAACCAACAACACTCACAATCACGCCTTCTCCTCCTCAACATCAATCCCAAACCTATCAACACCTCTATCCCGCCACCACCCAATCCCAAATCTCATCGCACCACCAAACACCCCAGCCCGACCGAGCTCCCCGTCACTCCTCCACTCCGCCCCCTCCGGAACGACCCTTCTCGTCGCCATCTCGCTCCCGGCAAGCATCGTCCCCGTCCCAGCAATCGAGCACGGATCGTGAGGCAGCACCCCGTTGACGTCGATCAGCAACCTCGACACGACGATACACAGCGCCATGACGCCCAGCATCGCCTGTAGAGCAATCTTGGGCCCAGCGTTCTGGTGTAGTCGTCGCGCGCTCTGCGATACCACGAGGCCTTGGTATGTCGGCAGCCGGTTCGACCCGCTGCTGCTCGTCGCGTTGCGCATGTTGGCCGCGATGGCTTGCGCAATGTACGTCTTGTATAGGCCGTTCGAGGCCTCAATCAGATTTTGCGAGTTCTTCTCGCCGGCTAGCTCCTCGATCGGCCGCCCGTTCCTACCCGTGACGAGCGCTCGCGTAAAAGGATCGACGAGAGACTCGAAACCAGTCATGTTGCTGCCGTTTGGTCCTTGAATCGTCACGTTCCGAGCCGATGTCGAAAAATCCAAAAAGAATTTGTTGAGGGAGAACTCAAAGGACGTCGTGTCTGACTTTGGGGCACGTAGGAGCTCAATCGTCGACTCGTCCACCACCGGCGGCGACGTCCTGCTGAGTGTCATATCCGGAGCATTGAACGTGACGTTGGCTTCGACCTCCTGAATTTTCTGATGGCACACGATTGTCGCCAGGTCGCTCTCGACGTCAAAGTTGGTCCTCGTTGTGTTCCTATACTTTTCCTTCCGGGGGGTGGCCCTCGCGGTGCCAAACGTTACGGCTACCGTAGGACAGCCCATACCTCCGATATCATAGTCGGTCGTCGGCCAGCCATTTCCAGCTGATGGGCTCGTATCGATTGCACCGTCACCATAGACGAGACTCGAGTTTCCCAAGCCCCAAATCATAATGGAGGCTTTTCCAAGATATACCGGGGACCCCGAGCTTGGGATCTGAAAGTATTGCATCCACGTCTTGGAGGTCGTGTTTGATGGCCTGCGTCCGCACATCCAGGGAAGGGTGGTATTTATGGCGAGTAGGGCAGTCCGGTTGTTGACGCTCACCGAAGTGCCCATGCCACCGAGACGAACCTCCATGGTACTTCTGTCGAACAGTACCGGCTGAACTTCCCGTTGCTCGGCAGGTATGACGGAGCAACTCAAGTTGCCACGGATCCCCGTCATCTTGGCCGACAGCGGAACCTGGCCATTAGCGACGGCCTGATTGCTGAGACCCATGGGTTTGATCTCGTTGAAGACCAAATCACCAGACGTCCATTTTGGATCTGGCAGGTTGACGTACTCGATCAACGATGTGATTGCGGTCGCTTGGTTATCTTCGGCCCAGAGAGTGGTCTGGTCAAGCCGGAATGCGTCCATCTGCTGCAGGGCAACGCCTTCAACCTGCTGCACGGCCAAGACGCTGTAAAGACCCGAAACAACAATGGTGAGGAATCCAGCCATGATGTTAGCCATAAGAATGACAGTGACGCCGAAATGCCGCGAGCGAATAGACTCCCATATGGCGTGAGGAGCCATCCTGCCGACGAGATTCATAAATACGGAGCGGCTGGCAATGGCGTCCCGCTTCTTGAGCGCGGCAAATGGCGCAAATATGGCAGCCATCGCCTCGAAGCTCGAGTACATACCAGCCAAGGAGATGGCCACGGCGGCAGGTACGTACGTCGCCAAGACTGTCGAAGTCTTCGTGCCCACCTCCATGAACCCATCTCGGTTGTCTGAAATGCGCTGTATGATTTCCAACGCTGCAATAGCCGCCAGAGGTAAAAAGACACTGACTACCAGGAACCATGGAGCTCCGGCCAAGGGGCGCCACCAAGAAATTGGCTGGTATTCCTTCGGCACTGCGGTACGTGAGGGTTCCATCTGACCATGGCTAGGCTCAATGGTGTATGTGGTCTCTGGCCCAGGTCGCAGAGACCCTTTGAACAGAAACCCGGATAACGTTTCCCGAATGAGACTTCTGCGTGATGACCCCAGGCCAGTGAACAGCTTGTTCAAATCCGGACTCGCCGCCAGTATTGTGACATTCGCCGCGATCGATCCTGGCTCTCGCGGTGCGACGTTTTGAGGCCGGAGGAAGATCATAGCAATGCTTATGAGAGTCAGGATTCCCAAAAAGGAACACATCAACGCTGTCGAAAGGCCCTTGACATGCAGGCGGTTCTCCAGGTACGTGATGGAACCCTGTGTCGTCGTATTAGAAGGCTTTAGGGACGTCTGAGACAAAACCTGAGCGCCTATTCCCTTGAAGACCTCAGATGCCGTGGAGATTAGAAGGTCCGTGTCCATGAAAGATCCTATTGTGGACAAACCGCGCTTCATTTTCATCATGAGGAAGAAGGTAGGGACGGATGTCGATAAGACAAAGTCTACACCGCCATCACCAATCTTGGTCTGTTCCGCAGAGTTACTGACAGCAAGACCCAAATAGCCGTTCGGGAAGCCGGCAATGCTGCTATTCGCGTTCGTGTCTTGGATGGCGCTCTGCAAAGCGACCTCTGACTTGGCACCGGCAAGGGTAGTCGATTTGACTTCATAGTTGCTCATAGTGTAGTCATACTTGCACATTACTGCCACAATCTTTTCCATGTAGATGTACGCGGGGCCGTTTCGCCTCGTGTCCATGGGAGAAAACCTCATGTCCGCTACGGTAAAAAGCATACGATGCGGAAGGCTGGTATTGGTCAGTTGTTCGGTGGTGTACTTGGTCAGAGGAGGGTTCAGCGGTGCGCTCCAGTCCACCCCGTTATTGCAAGTGTAGTCCTGGTACCATGCTTGGTAGTTCTGCATAGCATTTCGCTTCGCGTAGATGTTGTGATCTGGGCCGGCGGCCACAATGGCGCGGGTGATGTTGCACTCCGGCGTGGTGATGTTGGCGACCCAGAAGGCTCCGTTGATGCTGAACCAAGGCAGCGAAGTCATGGTCGCGTTCTGTATGGGAAGAGTCTCGCAGCTGAACCCAATCTTGGCACCTGGTGTTGTGGCGGTAAAATTCGCATCAGGACGACCGTTGCCCATCGCGTTGAGCTGAGGAATGACCATGTCTTCTGACGTGCCAGACGGGTAAGGCAGATTTTGGAAGTTGATGGCGTAGTACACCTGTGCAGGACCTGGACCCATGTCTAGAATATCGAATCCACCAGCGTCGAAGCTTGTCGTCATCACAATATCGACGTTGTTACTTGTAACTTCCGTCGGCTCGAGGATGAGTAGGCCAGTGGAAAATACGGTCTATTGGCGTCAGTATTCTCCCCTCCGTCTTTCCCGCTTTCTCTAGTTGGCAACTTACGGTGAGGAGAATCAGGGCCCAGCCAGCGATACTGCCAACGACGGCCCAATGGCGATTCTTGATTGCTTTCCAGAAACTGGTCGTCACCAGTGGTGAGACGTAGTCTAGAAGAAGCGTCTTATGCACATCGGAAGGACCACTGCGCAGTTCCTTCCACGGCATGAGGATCTTATTGGCGTAGTCTACCTGTCGCCACAAAGCAGCTACGATGACGAGAACTTGGTAACGATGTCATGTCAGTGTTTGATGCAAGTTGATTGTCTGTAGACCTCAATACTGACCAGCTGTAGGTCCATACTTCCAGCCATAATGATTGACTTCTTGCTGCGTGCTCAATCCATGATTCTGTACGGAGAAGTGGTAGAGTAGAGCCGTCGTGAGAAGCATGGCGACAAAACACACCGCAAACGTGACGAGAACCGTCTTTCTCAGCCACACAGGGTTCCACATGCGAGGCCGGGACTCCTCGGACCATTGCGATGGAGTTGGGCTCTTGCTATAGCCAAACTCGGATACGTGCGGGCTGTTCTTGTTCTGCGAAATCACAGACGCCAGACCATGTTCCGGGGATAAGTAGTGATCGCCGTCGTGTCTGTGGTGATCGCTGAAATCGACAGGCTCATCCAAAAACGCCCTGTTCTCGTCCAAGGCCGGGTGGTCGCGGTGTCGGAGGCTATTTTCGTGACCCCGGAGCCCTCTCTCCTGCTCATCGTCATCATCCTGCGCCCCAACAACTTCGTACTGCGCCGAAGCAACGGGTTTTCGGTGGATGCTCCTCGGCTGGGCTACGAAGAGGTCGCGGGTCGATGCGATGGGACCGGGCATGATGGGCGACGACGCTGGCCAGCGTTTAAAGGCATGGTAGCTTCAAGAACGTTAAAAAATATGTGAGTCCACAGAAGGAGGAGGCATGTAGTCTGCTTTATTGGATTTAAGGTCGTGTAAGGTAGGAATAGGAGG